GGAGGATAGTGATCGAACGCTTTTATTGGACTTTTTGTTGGCAGTTTTATTAATTTTTCATTAAAATTTGATGGTTCCATGAAAGATTAAAAAAAAAAAAATGTCTGATGAGGATGAGGAGTGTCAAGTGCCATAGTAAAACAAACAAATGGGTAGCCACCACTTGCGAAGGAACGACGCTTCTGTCGCGAGTTTGCATTCACTTCCATTGTTATGGACTGGATTTACCGTAGTTTAAGGACTGAGTTGAGGGTGGGGCTTAGGTTATGATGGATATCACACATTTTCCTTACCACAGCGGAAAATCAAAATTTGTTATCCACTGGTCAACTAGGTAAACATTGGGAGCGACCTCTATGCAACATATCGTTTCATCCATTGTAGGGACCCACAATAACGACAGTTGAATGAACTATGACGGCTTGTCCACAGTGTCAGGGGAAAACGCATACATTTTTTACAAAGCCTGGACGTCTTTTAGAGCTTGTCTCCTTACATGCGACACGACGTCATAACACACGTGACTGTCGCCTGCGATCGGTCCATGTAGTGATGGTGTGACAGGTTTAGAGCATTACCATTGGTCAAAATATCCAGACAAGCAGTGCCGGTTGATGAGCCATTTATGTGTACAAGTGTGTGTGTGTGTGTGTGTGTGTGTGTGTCTCTAGGATGTTCTTCTTCAATTCAACCCAATGCAAGTTTTGTGAAACTAATTTTGTTGTTTTGTTTTTTTAACGGACAGCAGGAGGAGGAGGAAGAGGAGGAGGAGGAAGAAGAGGAGGAGGAAGAAGAGGAGGAGGAGAAGGACTTACATGGGATTGGCCATGTCTGAAATAAAAAATGTCAGCAGCTCATCCGTCTGACGAACTTTGTATTTCCTTGTCCACCTTGACATTTAAATTTGCCACTGTCTCTCTTCTGGGAATTGCTAGTTGTGCACGGCTAAACGTCGCGTCACGCGTATTAAGGAGACAGTTTTGTTGCTTTTGTTGCACGCAACTGAAAATTTTGGCGCGATGTGGTCACGCACAACAAGGGTACACAGCTCGCGACTCATCACTAGCGACTGTCGCGCAGGACTAACCTCCGGGTTGTGCATGAGACATAGGCTTAGGCAGGTAAATTTGGTCGTGGGTTGATAAAAATAAGGTGGCTGCGGCCGCCTCGGACAAGTGTCTGTTTTACACAGTTAAATTATACAGAAAAAACGCAAGGGGGGAAAAATAAAGTGTCCGTTTCGTACAGGTGGCCGTCATGGCAGGTTCGACTGTATATTGTAAATTTTATATTGTAACCAGGTTATTTACAGTTCATACGTTTTACAAATTAAAATGATAATTGAAATCAGGATGAAAAATATAGGCAATGATGACTTGAAAAGTAGGCCTTTTATTATGATTGAATATATTCAATATATATATATATTATTATATATATATCGGAAGGTCAGAAACTGCCTTTGATTTATTGCACTTATTTCATTCCCTATAAGATAAAAATAAACTCAAAAGTTATATATTATAAGTAGAAAGTAAATTTTGTGAAGATACTAGTTGTGGTATATCATATTGGAAGGGAAGAAAAGGAGGATAAAATTTTATTATTTTTAAAATAAGATTTAAGGGGGGGAGTAGACCACAAGGCTTTCCGTGGATTGTTGTTTGTAAGAGGATATTAATAAAAATTTATGTTTTATAAATAGACTCTGTTGGCTACTGTAGGTTGTTCTATGATTTATTGTATGGTGCATATAATGATCGGATACCTGTTTTAAAGTATAAGGTCATGGATTGGGCAACACTTCATATGGCTCAAAACAGACGAGCACATATTCCACCATGCTGCCACACAAATAGCTTTCTGCGACTGATATAATTCCAATTATGCGTAGGTCCAGAACAATGTTGGGTGAAATGGCCTTTTCCATCTGTGCCCCAAAACTTTGGAACAATTTGGATTTAGATGTTAAAATGTCTCTTTCAATTGATCAATTTAAATCAAAGTTGAGGACAATGTTTTTCAGGAAAGTATATGTATAATGTGGAACTGTATGTCTGAAATATCTGTCAGTTTTTGTTGTTGTTTTAAAAATAAATTTATGCTGTTGTAGTGGTACTGAGCTTTAGAGCTTTTGTGTGTGTGTGTGTGTGTGTGTGTGTGTGTGTGTGTGTGTGTGTGTGTGTGTGTGTTTGTGTGTGTGTGTGTGTGTGTGTGTTTTGTAAGCGCCTCAGAGCCCTTTTTGTGGATTCTTGCACGTTATAAATTCATTTATCATAATTATTAATCCATTGTGTATCTGTTGATGTAGGTATCATCTTCAAGCCCGTCGGGTCCTGATGCTGTGCAACTGCAGAACAACCCTCGCAACACACAGTGGATAACTTTTGGAGCAGGGAGGAGGAGGCGTTTTCGCTCTTTGAATCTGTATGCCTACTTGTCTGTCTGTCCATCTGTCTGTCTTCCTATCTTTCTGTCTGTCTGTCAGTCCGTACATCTTATCTCTTTGTGATCAAAGCTGAGGAACGAATTTCCCCATTGTTCAGCTTTCTCATCGACAAATGACTGCGGAGGAAAAGCTATAACGGCGTATCTCAGCCCCTTGCCATATTTCGACTTAGCCTAACCTGCAGAAGTAGTGACGGACTTTTAAAACACCAGCCATGTTTTCTGGCGTGATGCTTATCGTGGTGCTCAGCGGTTGTCTGTTGATTGGTCCGGCCTGCGGCAATCCAGTACCCCGTAATTTTGACCTTGAGGGGAAGGAAGGGAACAATGTGGAGGTGAAGGACGCGGTCAACGAGGAAGTGGCTGATGGGAAAGTCCAACAGCTGGGCGTCGACTTACTGCCTAATCAGAGTGAGTGTGTTGTTGTTGTTGTTGTTGCTGTTGTTGTTGTTGTTGTTGTTGGGAGTGTTGTTGTAGTCAGTATGTTATTGTTGTTGTAATTGTGAGTGTTGTAGTTTTGAGTGTTGAGGTTGTTGAAGTTCTGAGTGTTGTTGTTATGAATGTGTTTTTGTTGTTATTGTAGTTGGGAATGTTGTTGTTAGTGTGTTATTGTTATTGTTGTAGTTGTGAGTGTGTTGTAGTTGTGAGTGTGTTGTTTTGTTGTTGTGAGTGTTGTTGTTGTCAGTATGTTCTTGTTGTAGTTGTGAGTGTGTGTATTTTATTGAACCTAATTGTATTCCAAGTGCTGTAAAACTGTAACTGAAATCTAAAAACCATCACCTGCATTGTGTGTCAGTCACACTTTTCATTCTGTGTTGTTCACACATGATGTGTTGTGTGTTGTTGACACCTGGGTTGTGTGCAGTTTACACCTGCATTGTGTGTTGTTCACACCTGCGTTGAGTGCTGTTCACACCTGTATTGTGTGTTGTTCACACCTGCGTTGTGTGTTGTTCACACCTGCGTTGAGTGTTGTTGAGACCTGCGTTGTGTTTTTTTGTTCAGATAATGACGCAGCTGGAGACGGGCAGTTGCAGCAGCCTGACCCAGACAACGAAGGTGACGATGATGATGCGGGCAATTTGGGCCGACAGGAAGTGGATGGAATGGGACCTGGGATAGCAGACGCACCAGGACAGGCAGACGCCACAGATATGGACAAGCACCTCAAGCTCATCGGAGAGATGGTGGATAAAGTTGGGGTGAGATTTTGTGACAAATACATGGACAGTCGATACACATACAATAGACATCTACAAGGAATACACGTACTGTGGATACACATTTAATAGACATCTAAAGGAATACACGTACAGTTGATACTCATTCAATAGACATCTAAAGGAATACACGTACTGTGGATACACATACAATAGACATCTAAAGGAATACACGTACAGTTGATACTCACACAATAGACATTTACAAGGAATATACGCGTACTGTGGATACACATACTACAGTAACAATAGACATCTACAAGGAGTACACGTACAGTGGATACACATACAGTGAATACATGTACAATAGATACAGGTACTAGGAATATACGTACAATGGATGTCCACAGACAATGAATGTACGTACAATGGATATCCACATACGATGGATACATGTACAATGGGTGTCCACATAGAATGAATGTACATACAATGGATGCGCTTACAGTGAATGCACATACACTGGATATCCTCATACAATGGATACACGTACAAGGAAATCACATACATTGGATACATGTACAATGAATGCACTTACAATGAATGCACATACACTGGATATCCTCATACAATGGATACACGTACAAGGAAATCACATACATTGGGTACATGTACAATGAATGCACTTACAATGAATGCACATACACTGGATATCCTCATACAATGGATACACGTACAA